GGATCAATTACAGCAGAGGAGACTGGTTAACCAGGAGAACTCCAGAAGAAAATTCTTGTCCTGTGCAAGTTTAACCATTTTAATTTTAGGGTTTTTTCCTTTCCTGCAGGAATCTAACTTTTCTACTGTATAACTTCTAAAGCAAGACCAGATGAGCAGGAAATTATTTGAGACTATAGGTAGCTCTGAGAGCAAGTAGTGCGGGAGTAGTGCTGAAGGTTGTTCTTGGAACACTTTGCTATAGGAAATGACATTCAGATTCTTTCCACATAGTTTATGGACAAGCAGGAAGGGCTATTCCTCTCTTCCTTTCCCCCAACCCCAGGGCAGTCCTGCAGTGCCCCTTTTTAGCTCCAGCCTTCTGCCTTCTGCAGATGTGAGGTATCAGTGGATCTAGAAATGATACCAAAGATAATTTCATCTTCAACCTCCAATGTGGAAGAAAGTATTTAAGAAATGAAGGTTGCTGAGATAAGCAGAAAATTAATATTATTTTTTACAATCTGTTTTTCAGTTTATCTTATCAGGTAATTAACTATGTGGTTATGATCTCAATGGAAAATAGTGTAGGCAATTACCTAAAAAATTTCAACAATCTTAAAGCTTTTTTTTTTTTAATGGTTTGTTTTTTAACAAACTTACAAGCTTGAAGTCATCTTAGCCAAGAATACCAGCTCAAAGTTTTTAGATTATAAGGAATTTTGCTTGGACTGGAGGATGTGAGGTCAAACTAAGGCTTCAGTGCAGAACAGGTTCTTTCACTGCATAGATAACAACTTCCTGATAGAGGTGACTGAGGATCCAACAAGAAGGTGCGTGGATGTCCTGATACCAGAAAAAAATGAGTGGACATGTGAAGGTCTTCACTGCAACTCTTAGGAGATGGTGGTTTTCAGCCTAGAGAAGAGAAGGCTCCAAGGAGACCTTATAGCACCTTCCAGCACTTGAAGGGGCCTACAGGAAAGCTGGGAAGGGGCTTTTCATCAGAGGAAATAGTGATAGGACATTGGGTAATGGTTTTAAACTGAGAAAGGGGAGATTTAGGTTAGATATTAGGAAGAAATTCTTCACTCTAAGGGTGGTGAGGAACTGGAATGGGTTGCCCAGGGAGGCTGTTGACACCCCATCCCTGGAGGATTTTAAGGCCAGGTTGGATGAGGTTTTGTGCAACCTGGTCTAGTGGCAGGGTTCCCTGCTCACTTCAGGGGGGTGTTGGAACTTGATGATCTTTAAGGTCCCTTCCAGCCTTAATGATTCTATGATCCTATCAGTTCAGGATCTTGAGAGGAGCGAGAAAGGCTGAACGTCAGACCAAAGTATCAGAGTAGACTTTAATCTCTTCAGAGATCTGCTTGGAAGAATCACCTGGATTACGGCCCTGGGGAGAAGATGAGTCCAGGACAGTTGTCTGATTTTCAAAAGTCATCTCAGTGGTGCCCAGTGATAGGACAACAGGCAATGGGCACAAACTGAAACACATTCAATTCCATCTGATTAGTCAAAGAAGTCTGTTTTGTTTTGTTTTGTTCTTTTACTGTGGAAGTGATCAATCACTTCAACAGTTTGCCCAAAGAGATTTTGAAGACTCCACCCTTGGAGATAGCAAAAATGCTGGGCAACCTCCTCTACCTGACCCTGATGCAAGATGGGGGACAGACTAGGTAATTCTAGTCCCAGTGGACCAGATGGTCCCTTCCAACCTCAAACATTCTGTGATCTCATGAAGCAGGTGAGTACTGCTGTGTTCCAAATTGCCTCTGAACACAATGCACTTCACATTCTGCCACTCACTATAACTCTGTTACAAAAGGTCACTTCTCCCAGTGGACAATGTAATCACCTTTTAGTTGTACTGGCAGGTGAATCTGCTGGTATTTTATGACTTAGCTCAAACCAACTGATGGTGAAGACCAGATGCTTGAAGCCTCTGTGCTAAAAAGCCACAACTATGCTCCCTAAAGAGGCTATTCCAAACATTTTTTTCCTTGTAGCTACATTAGCACTACACTTTTCTATCATTTTCAGTAATTCAGCCTCAGCTATTGTGTTTGTATAACGTGTTAAATTAAAGTTATGTTGAAGTTGTCAAATTTTCCCTTATTTTCCCCTGGTGTAGACTATTATTTATCTTAGATAATGAGAGCAGTAACTACAGTACACTGTCATTAAATAGATGAGATTATCAACAGTTTTCTTTAATACTGAACATTATGAAATCATTTTTATACTATGCTCCCTTCCCACCTTTAATTCCTTTTTCTCTCTCTCTCTTCCTCAAATCCATTGTTGTACTATTAGTAATCTTTTATTACATCTCTCTTTCCAGCTGAATCAAGCAATTTTTTCTGCTCCTAATCCTGTCACCTCTTCTCGTTGCCTTTCTCTGTTCCTGGGACCCAACAAGCCCTGTCTTGGTCAGCCTTCTGCTAGCCCTCTTTCTCCCTTTCCTCCAGCATCCTGGGAGTTTATCTTTGTATTGCTGGGTACAATAAAAATCTGAGGTTTTGGGAAACAGAATTACTGTCCAAGTACATGTTAGTATAATCACAGCTGATCCAATATGGGAATAGTGCAGCTGCTAACCCAACAATAGCCACAGAAGAGTCTGAGTCTCTGTCACAGTGCCTAGACACTGTGGTAAGACAACAGTATTAGTAATACTTTTCCCTCTCCTATGGTCTGTTCTTTGAAGCCTTGTGCCTTTGTATAAGTTCATATATGTTGCCCTTTTCCAAGCATTCATCTCTTGTATTAATAAGTAAAAGACCTGAGGAAATGCACTACGCTTTATGAGATTACGGTTACAGTCCTTCACAAAACACATCAGATATAAAGATATAAACTGTACTTCAGCCTTGCAAAGTTTTGTTCATCTTCTAGCACAGAAAAGCAATTAACTGGTGGAAAACAGCAGTTGTTCCATTTTATCAATATCATTAGGCAACATAAAAAAGGGTAGGCTAGTTCTGGAAGTCTGCTGTTTGTAATTATTCCAAGCCACACACAAATAGACCTTTTCTCCGTTTCAGAACAGAGGCACAACAATTGTTTCTGAAGCCCAGGACAAAGCCAGTACTAAGATCTTAAAATATATGCTATGTTCACAAAGACTGCCTTCATGAAAGCTGACTGCCATCTACTGCAGCTAGTGCTCTGGTAATTTTGTGTTAAAAGGACAAGTATGATCTTCACAGTCCTGACTTGTTCCTCATGAGTCTCCCCACCATGTCTTGAAAGACACCTGTCTTCAGTACTTTTCATTTTTCAAACTGCAAGTCCCAGAAACTTGGCAAATGTGATACTTGGTAGTAAAACCAGCTAGTTCACCACATGATAAAAAAATTATTACATTGTTCAAGAATGATAAGAGATTTTCTAAGTTCTTGGGCTGCCTTTCATGCAGCCCAGTAATTTGAACTGTCATAATCCAGAGTATGTCTATGCTTGACCGTGTATGATCCACTACTTACAAGTCTACTCACCTGCACCTAGAGGAGTGTGACATATAAGAAAAATGGAAGGTGAGAAAAACACCGTTTCTGTAGAGACAAATATTCTTCCATGCAAAAGTAGATGTCCAAACTTTAAGAAAATGCTATAGTCATAAAAAAAAAAAGAACTAAAGCCTTTAAATTTCTTATGATTTATGGGAATAGTTAATGGTAAGGTAGCATACTGTGTGAGAACACTAGTTCTTCATTTGTTTAGAGGCAATTAAGTAGATACTCTAACTGTATTACAGGCATTTTTACTAGGATGCTTGGAAGTGCAGTGTCTTGTCCACAATTACATATTAAGACAGAAATACAGTATAACTCTTTATTGTGTACTCAGTGCCATAGCAATTTTTTTTACAGAAGTGTTGAAAGAAATAAAAACAATTCCCTTTGTTGCAATAGTATATGAATTGCACTAAAATCTGACAACCACAATTAATTGAAACACACTGCAAAGAGGCAAGTAGCACAAAGCCACCTTGACAAATTATAAAAGTGACCACACTGTTTCCAAGGAAGCAAAGCTTTCAAAAAACTCACATGCATAAAGTGTTTGCTCTGTTCTTCAGAGCACAGTATTGTAGCTAGAACTGCAGTAAGTTTCATAGGCAGAAAAATGCTGATGTCCATATCCCCAATATCCTTCTCAGATGTATGCCAGGACGTCTCTTCTCCCTTTGCAATCCCCAGTCTTTTATTCTATGATCCACTGTTACATAAAACCTAACAGAAACTGTGTCCAGCTGGTGAATCAGGCAAGTATTTCCATTTAATTAGGTCATTAGAAATGAAAACATTTGTTTTCATTTCCTCTCCACCACATGCCTCACCACTTTGTGGTAAGGGGAGCATAAGTATCCCAAAGACTTAAAAACCTTCCATCATCACTGATTTAAGAAAAATTTCTGAACTTGCAGTGGTTACCTTTCAAACACAGTAAGCACCAATATTATCTGCTGACATAAGGAATATTGCAAAAGAAAGTCAGATTCCACACCTGACGTATTGCTGGAAGGACACAGTCAGCTTCTATAGAACAAAACCCCCCTGTGGAGGGAAAAAACCCCAAAGAGTCAAAAAATCAGTAAAATCTAAAGGCATCAATTACATTGATGTGCTTTAAAAGCAGGAGCAAAAAGTTATATATATAGGATAACCCCTTCTTTGGGAGCACGTGCATGTGTGTATATGACACTGCTGCCAGTATGCATCTGTGAGCGATGGGAGACAGGAGGGAAGCAGCGGTGTCAGGTGAGGAAATACACCCCTAACAAACCTACTATACAGCCCTTACGCCTCAGACATGCTCTTCATATCTCTTCATAAATCAACTGGAAAGTGCCAAGGGTCCCAAACAATATTCACCAGGCATGTCTTTGCTTTGCAACTCCACCTCTCTCCCCAGCGGAATTTTTTCCAACTTAATCACAGCATTCAAAAACAAGCAGTTATCTGTCACATGGCTGACATTTGAAGGTAAAGGCCTCTTTCTTTGGTTATATTGTTATCTGAAATTAAAATATGGCAGGTAAAACAAAGAACTCAATACAGTATTGTATTTGGAGACCAATGCAAATGAATATGCTCAATATTATATTGAATTTTTCTTCCCACGCTACCTCTATCCCCAAGAAAACTTTTTAAATCCTACAAGGCACAAATGGTTAACATGTTTCAGCAAGGCCCTGTCTTTTCCTTGCTGCTCCTTTTTTGGCCCTGGTTTAACAATCTTCCACGGCTTCAGGTGATGACAGTGGGTCCCTTTCGCCCTGTCCTCTCATGAATCTGAGATATTTTCAGTGCGATTGCTATAAGAGGACTCAGCACAGCCTGAAGAGGAAAAAATACATTGAATTACATAAAGCAGAAATATCAACCAACTTCTTGCATTCATAAATGCCCCTTTTAACTGTAGTATTATTTAATAATAGTAAATCATTCAATAACAATAAACATTTACACAGTTACAGTGTCTATATTGTCATACCTGATATAATGAAGTATTGTGCTGAGCATATGTTTTGTGAAGTGATACACTGAGTAGACCTAAGCTATGCAGAAAAGATAAACCAGTAAAGACACTACACTGATAATGTCTCTATGTAACAGGCATTGTAGTGACATTCTTGAAATCAGTTGTTCAAAGCAACCTAGAAATCACAAAACCAGAACTGTTTCTATTCTGATGGGTGGAAGCCACATAGATGAGATTTTCTTCCTACGAACACTCACTCTGTCAAGCTTAGGGCCCAGAAGGTACTGTAGCAATTACCTTAACAGAAATCACAGAAGTGCATTTTGAGTAACACCACCTGAAATTGCATTAAACGGCTGAAATTGCAACAGAGGTAGGATGAACCCTCAAGTTTCAGGCTACAGACTTTACTAAATGAACGTATGTATGAAACTGCCCAGATAGGTGAGTGAAGACAACTATGACAGTACCATATGAAAACCAAGTGAAACATATTTTCTCAAATGACTACTTAATATTCTCTCAGTTAATTAAATTATATTGAAAGGTAAACTGGCAGAGCTGAGGTGGGAGTTGGACTTGGTAATCCAGGCTGTCTGAGGAGGTGGTTGAGCCACCATTCCTGGAGACACCTAAAAAGACAGATGTGGTGCCAGGGGACAGGGTTTAGTGGTGGACATGGCAGAATTAGGGTAATGGTTGGACTCGATGATATTGAAGGTCTTTTCAAACCAGAGTGATACTGCAATACTGTGACAGATAAAATCTTAAAACTGAAAATAAACAGAACTGACTTAAATCTTAATTTTGTGTTAGTAAAAACAGATGCTACACCTCTGAAAAAAAACCAAAACTGGTAGGAATTATTATTCATGCCAGGAAACACATCAAACAAGCAGGTATCTCAAACAAGGCAAATAAGGATGAAAAGCTCTGTGATTGTGA